TTTTGCTGCTATTTATTATTACTTCAGTTATTTCTTTTTCCAAAAATTCTTACTTACAAGCGTTCCCACTATTTTTTTTATTTTTTATTCCTTGTGTTAATAACATTGCTCTATATGCAATGTGCAATTCTTCTAATATTTTTTGCTTCTAAATTTGCTCTTAAGCATTTTGCCAAAAATCTACATATAGATTATGAAAAATCCTTATTATTACTGCCTTCCAAACCAATTAATTTAATATTGTCTACTTGATACATGATAATCTTGAAATTGAATATATATACTGTAAAATATATAAAGTGATTTAGATCAAATTTTTATTAGAAGAAAATTAAATTTAAAAATTATTTTTTATGTCCTTCGATCACAGCCCTTCCCCTAATGAGAAAAAAAATAAATTTTCTATATTTTTATAAAAATTACTATTGAATTATTAACTTTCTACTTTAACCACTACTCGTTTATCAATCCTTGAGGTTCTTACTTTCAATTCATAAAAAATATTAATTTGGAATTTGCTATTGGGTCTAAAATAAATGCATAAATTTTCAAAAATTAGTCCAGACCACGATTAAAATTTTTGCAATGGAACTAGTTTTCAGCGCATTTTGTTTAAAATTTTAAAATTAATATTATTATTTATTACATTTTGCTGATTTTTGTTCTAAGTGTGTGAAACCTCTTTAAAATCGTAAGAAAATCTGTTAGCTTTCTACAGCATCTACATTCTAAAATTTCTCTGTCACTAATATATTTTTTAATATCAAAACCATAAAATATATCAAATATATATTTGTTAGCGATGCAAAGATGACGGATAAATTAATTTTGAGAAAATGTGAACAAATTTAAAGTTGTCAGTCTTGAACTATAATTTACAAACTGTATTATTATATGTATGAAATAAATTGAGAGTTTATTAAGCGAAGTATAAATCTTTGAATCGCTAACATTAATAACAAAAAAGCACGAGAGATTTTACAACTTTTTTTTCAATTTTTTTGATTTATTACAACTCCGTCAATTCTCTGAAAATACATCATTCAAGTCCTGTGACTTTTCCTAATAAAATCTCCCATGCAAATTTATTATTTTCATATTATGAAACATGTCTATTTATTAAAAAATAAACTTTGCTTTCTACATAACAATTCATATCTAAATATTCTTCTACCACTAATTTTAATTTTGAAAAGCGTTCACGATCATCTGTTAAATTTGAGCTCAAAACATCAACACTGAAGCATGTATACACCTAGTTTTTCTAAAACTAAATTAATTTTAATGTAACAAATTGTTTTTAAGTACATAATTTAAAATTATTTACATCTTCTAATACTCAATAGTGATATGTTTACATAATTTATAATGAAAAATCATGGGGAAATTAATGATTTATGGAATGGAGATAGTTGGAAAGTATTTTTTGTTTTTTGTCAGAAAAAATTGTATGTATTTTTTTGTATTGAGTTCAAAAATTTTAAACCCATTTTAAAACTTTGGGTTTTCAGACTACGCAGAGCTGAAATTGCGACAGCCCGCCTATAACGCGGTTTCTGATCAACAGCCTACTAACTCTTTTTGCGCATCCTATAAATGACTCTTTATTACTGTCTATTTTATTTTTTACAATATGTTTATATGAACATATCAGTTTGTATAATTACTTTGTATGACATTACATCGGTTTTAGTAGTGTCAAAGCCTTTTTATGTTAGTTTTTCTAAGAAAAATTTTGCTTGAGATTTTTTTTGTTGGAAAACAGTTTTTTAACTTCCCGGGTAAATCTGAACATTTTGGAATACCTCAGAAAAAAATGGATTTGTGTATGTGTGTGTGTATGTATGTATGGATACAATTTTTTGTCCAAGTTTTCGGGCGCACGGATCAACCGATTTGAATGGTTCAAAATACATTCGATTTCATATAATTCTTACGAATTATTAGACAATATTACAGTATTTATTTAATCTAATCTATTTGAAAACATTCAATATTTTTTTAACATTTTGTTACGGTACGGGAAGTTCCAGCAATTTGCCTTAAGGCACGATGCCATTCACTACTGGTTAGTTTAGCTTTTGCTTCATTATTTATTATAATTTAAAATGACCCTTCATTTTAAAAATGACATATTTTTCATCATAAACTTATATGAGCTTTTAAATTCAATAGAAACTCTCATAATTCCTTTTATACTTATTGATGTCCAAATAACGCGGTACAAATTAAGTGATTTGTACTAATTCTGAGTTTTGTTATTGCGCGATTCTCATATAACGCGATATCCGCCGGTTTGCACAGAACGCACTACAAATTAGATTTTTTACAATCAGAATTTTTACAGCATAGTTTTCACACACTAACCGCGTTATAGGGTTGTCAAATGTATTGATAATAATTTCGTCGAATTCATATTAGATATATTGGATCTAGAAAATGCACTACGTCGCTGGTCGTCTAAAAACACACTAACCGCGTTATAGGGGGTTAACTGTATTGATAATAATTTCGGCAAATTTGGATTAGGTACATTTGATCTAGAAGATGCACCAAAGCGCTGGTCGACTAAAACATGTGCCATCAACCAGAAACAGAATTCATCAAAAATTAACTGTGTTATTTCCATTGGACTAAAAACATCAAATTACTTTCCAAATAATCTAATGGAATGATGATAAATCAAAATATTCATAAAATTATTATTATGCTCCTTGTACCTAATCAAGCCTTGATGAAATGATACCTTATTGACTAATTACAAAATTGCTAGTGAAATAAAAATCAGTATTTTCATAAGTGAAATCTTCTCCGTGACAAGTGTATAGTTCTCATCTATTCTCATCCAATCTATAAAAAAGCTGTGCCTCCTCCTGTAGCCTAAGTCTTCTAGTTTTTCCCCAAATTTGTCAATTAACAAGGAACGGCTTCCGAAATTGGATTTTCTGTAATTCTTATAGAAACGCAGTTATTGTTGGCAACATTAGCGGCAGAAACTTGCTGTTGTTGATTAGTGTTGATGATTTCGACGTTGTTGTTGGCTGAAGTCTCTTTATTGGCAGTTGTTGGAAATAAGTGGTATAGTCCTAGTTTTGCTGGCGATATAAATCCGGCTAGATTGGAGGAAATTGGATGAAATACATAAAATTAGTCGGTGGTTCTTAGAACCTAGATATTGGTTCTGTTGAGTTAAGTTGCTTTGGTTGCTTTCGAATTAACCCTTTCCACTCGCGAATTGCGAGATTTATATAGATTTTGCCGACGGAGCGGCGGCATCCGAGTGGAAAGGGTTAGTTTTTATTGGGTCATAGCGCAGTTTCCGTTGAACTTAAGTTTAAATATCATTAATATTATATTATACTTATTAAATATAATATTAAGGGTATGCACAAAAATTAATTATGCGTTCGAAGTTTCGTGGTAAAGTTAACAAAATCGTTCATTCTATGTTTCTTTTTTCATAATAGACTTCAAAATACTTCTACTTTGTCATCAGACATAAACTAAATAACATAAGAACGTTATGTATTTAAATTTGTGCCATATATATATTTATCACCATAACAAAAAAATGTAACCAAATTTGCTCCCGAAATTTTATTTATTTTTTTTTAACTTACCGCGTTTTGTTCAAGAAATTCTACAACTGGATCAGGTTTTATAAAAAAATCGGTATAATTTGTAGCTTAGTTAGTAATTTTATAATAATCAGATAGTAGTATTATCGATTAATCAAGTCCGTTTTTTTTGCAAAATTATTTTTACAGGATTTTAAAATATCCTCAATTAGTTTCGAAATATCCTTACATAGTTATATGCTCTAAATTATTTTGTTTTCTTTTTTTCTGATGGTTAATATTTTTTATGATTTTATTTGATTATATTTGATCTGAACTAAAAGCATTAGTGTTATTTTTTATAAAAATTTTATTTAATTTTTTATTCATAATTATTTGTACGTTTCAGGTACTTTTAAAACAACTTTAAATTTATACACTTTAATGATCAAAAAGTAAATTCTTTGAATTTTTTAAATAATTGAAAAGTGTATGAATGTTTGTCTGAAGAGTTTATGGAAAAGTGGATATTTCATATGCCCGAAAGGTACAAATAATTATAAATGATCAAATTTTATATTCGAAAAAATAAACCAAAGCTTTTAGTTCAGACGAACTAAATCTTATATACACATATATTAGGGTGGTCATTAATATGGACATTTTTGAATTTCCTTGCTCCTAAGGGCTCAAATGGTTCCAAATTTATAAAAAACAATTCTCTGAAAGTTTTAGCTCTTAATATTAATTTTTTGATAGTGCGCAAATGTTTCAAGATCCAGAAAAAATTAATAACTATATTTATTCTACGAAGTACTAAAAACTTGGACACTAAATATTCAAATACTAAATATTTAGCTTTTACCTCATATATTCTTTTCATCTACTAAATGATAAAGATGAAGATAAATAAGAATTTAAATTATGAGCCACTGACTTTTTAAGTAATATTTTAAATATTACCAAATGATTATGTTATTAATTATCTTATATATGTAAAAGATATATGTAAATAATAATAATTTTATATTAAGAAATGAAATATTAGCATCAAACATATTTTTGCAAAATTTTTGCTTTATTTAAGATATAATCTTTTAAAAGCCAATGGCGCAATGAGAACAAAAATAAAACAATTAGATGATATCATGATTAATATATTACTAAAAAATAATAATACAATGATATATAATATAACTCTTATGTAATATATTTTAAATCTACAATGAATATACAAAAAGCTCACTACGTACTCTCATTCGAGTAAAGCGTCTTAATTACGAACCGATAATAAAAAAAAATCGGTTTCATCAAATATATTGGTTATCAAAAAATAGCAAAAATATTATTTACAACTATTGGATAAAGAATATTTTAATAATCAATTCAAAAAATTGTTCTTATGGCAATTGTAGTTTATGAATATGTACACTTGTTAGGAAAATCTGATTAAGTTTTAAACAAAATCATAATAATAATAAAAAAAAACAATACGTGAAAATGATAGATGATTATCTAATTATCTACTCTAATAACTTATACTATCTGAAGAATGTGATATGCTCAGCCTGGAAAGCTTTTGCAAGGCGCCGACAGCTAAAACGAAATAAAAATCATAATTAATAAAAAGTGAATGGATAAAATATTTAACTACGATACGTGCATGTAAAACTACATAATGAAAATGATCTAAGGGTCACTAAGGACCTTTGGGGTCTAATTATGATTGGTAAATGATGAGGTAAATGATACAGGTGAATTCTTGGTGATTGGTGTGATAGATTGGTCTTGAAAAAAAAACTGTAGGATTTTATGTATTTAATTATGAAAAAATGTGGTATAAATTATTTTTAATTTCACATGAGATTTTTCAAAAAAAAAAATTCTGAGAAAATAGTCATATTTCAAATTAATATAATTTTTAATAATCTATGAATTTATTTAAGGGAATATCATGCTTTGAAACTCTAATTCACTACAAAAAAAAATTAGTGAGGTAGAATAAAAATTCAAAGGTTTACTCCTGTATTTTTTTTTATTTAATAACAGGTAATCATCAAAATTATTTTTCACTATTTACAAACTAACTCCACAAAAAGCAATTTTACATAATTTGTTTATATTGGATTGTAATTCAATATAATTTTATTAAAAGGTCAATAATAAATTAAATAAAAATATTTTTTGAAAAATTGAGAACAAAGAATATTAGCTATCTAAAAAAAACTAGCATATATAATGTATTAAATTATTAAAATTATTAAGATCATGATTAATACTATTTACTAATTAAAGTTAAATTTTATTAAATAAATGAATGAAAAAAATGTTTTTGTGTAATGATTAGTAAGAAGTTTTCCTAATTTTCTACATTTAATATGGTGATATAAATTTCATAGTGATCAAATATTCTACTATTCATCATGCATTACTGGAAAAATAAAAATAATGCAAATTATTCAAAATTTTTGGACCGCAAATTTTATTCAATACATACCAAGTTTTTCCGTTTTGTGGTTAGCGTTAATTAATCAATATTTTATTATTAAAAACAAATTAATAAATTTAAATAAAATATCATAAATAGTCAATAAAAGTTGTCTACTTGTTTCTTCCAGGGGCATAAATTCAGAATTAAATTCTAATATTTATTTTTTGTATAAAGCCACTAAATTTATAATCGCGATAAATAAAAAAATAAAATGGGTATGAAAAAACTCAACAATAAGAAAACATTTAATTCTCTCTTAATAGTTCATATATTGATGCATAGTAAGCACATTACACTTAAATATTTATAGTTATATATAATTCTTTAACAATTTTCGGCAGTTTATGTCTAAACAAAGATCATCTACTTTTAAAAAGTTTTCTTCACAAAACATTGAATTTTTTTGGACTAATAGCGTATTTTAATTTCATTTTTGTCAAATAATGAGAGTGGCATACACCTTAATGAATAATAATTAAAAGTTCTTAAATCAGACACTATAATGATAAATTTATCAATCATGCAATTTGAAGCAAAAATAAAATATTGAATAACCACAATTTCCAAAATAAAATTTATAAATACGCCAAAAGCCGATGGATGAAAAATGATTTTGATGATTCGTGAATTTTGATGATTTAACAAAACATAATCCAATCATTTTTATAAGTTGTTGAATTTTTTTATTTATTAAAGCACAGTGCTAATTAAATAAATAAATATTTTTATTTACTATACAAGACTCAAATTTATATTAAAAAATAAAATTTGATTCTCTGTTTTCAAAAAATGATTATGATAATGTTTATTAAAGTAGTTTGAAGAAGAATATATGAAGTAAATAAGTTAATGTGTGTTAATGAATATTAATTATCTTAGTCTTTATATACAGTTCATTTTTAAATAATTATAACTTCCATAGAATTTAATTTTAAACAGAAACATTTTGTACACATTGTTTCAATATCACAATAATATATATTTAAACAAAGAAAAGATTTGAAACCGCAATACTATTTAAAACTAGTATAAGCTCACAATTATTTTATTTTTGAGAATTAAAATTATTTAAGACAACAAATTAATTAATTTACTATCCGCTACATATTTTCATAAAGAAAAGAAACATTGTAAATATAGCTTCTCTCTAATTATTTTTTTAAGTATCCTAAATTTTATAGTCAGCAACAATGCATATACAATGTGCTAAATTCCAATTTATGTGATTAATATTTTTTTTAAAGTCTGGTTCAACAAATTTTACTCATTTATAAACAGTATTTGGGCATTTTGCCACATTTTGTATATTTTTATTTAGCTTTTTAGTTGACTAGAAATTGAATTTGGAATGTTAGCACTTACCGTATCCTTCTCCTGTAGGAAAAGTCTGAAAGCTTCTGATACTTTGGCAGGTTGCTCTTCTAGAACCATTCCACATTCGCTGATCTAAAATAGATAATTTCTATTAATAAAAGATAATTTAAAATAAAAAAAGTTATAAAAAGTTTGTAAGAAAATTGAAAAAAAAAACTATGAAACTTTCTTTCGTGGTTTATTAAATTTTCTTTTTGTATCACCAATAACTACTAATAAGGACCTGAGACTTGAATGCCTTCAAAGCTTTTGTTTCAAGAATAATAATATTATCACTTTAGTATTGAATTATTCAATAAAATAATCCTGAATTGTTTTTTAAAATTGCGTAGCTGGAATCACATCATTACTATTCTGCATTTATTAAATAAATTTAATATTAAAGTCAGATTTTAAAGTTAAACTAATTATTTATATATTTAACTAATGTAATGATGTATTATGTAATGATAGTGTAATTGGGTAAAATCATAAAAAAATTATCTAGATTCTATATTTGTTGTTGTTGTTATTATGTTGGTAGTCAAAGTCATATCCAAAACAAATGTTTACAGTTTTAAGTACATAGCAAACTTGATTTATTTTTTTAAGGCAGAAAAGCCTTAAAGTTCTGCTCAGTGATTTTCTCTTATGAAAACATGAAGCCAAGAATAAACGTTGAGGTTTAGGAATTAGCGCCAATTATAATTAAGTGTACGCAAATTCTATCAAAAATATAAGAAGTTGCCAAAATCTCACTGTTTGGAATTTTTGATATCTTAAACTTTAACTGTCCGGAACAATTGCAAGAACCCTCCTCTCCTAGAAAGCACTTATTTTCGACAATTATAATCTAAATTGTGTAAAATAATTCCTAAAAAGTTTTTTTTTACAAAAAACTGCAGTTGTATTCAAATAGTACAAAAAGGCATGTATAAAAACGGAACTTATATAAAATATATAATGACACAATACTGCCTTACTTGATCTAAACCTTGTACATATAGAAGATGAAAATTTTTGTTGAACTTGCAAAATTAGTAAAACCCACTTAGTAAAAACTTATAAATTTTTTATTTTTTTTATAATTAACTTTAGCAATAAATATCGCTATTATTGTGTTTTTTTGAAGTCAAGTCTCTTTCAATTTGTAAGAATCATTATAGTTGCAATATATTGAAAAGAACCGAGAAGAAAGGGAAACTGGATCGGACCTTGTCTGCAAAAAGAGTGCCACCTGCACAACGTCGTTGAGGGTAAAATAGAAAGATTGAAAGAATTGGGAAGAAGAAGAATGCTGATGATTGACGACTTACGCCAGAAGAGAAAATACAGGAAACTGAAAGCCGAAGCACAGGATCAAGAACTATGGTAGCAGAAGTTTGGAAAGAAAAATATATGAAATAAAAAAGGGGAGGGGGAATAGTGGTAATGGATATGATATCATTTGTTTGTGGTGGTTCTCACACTTGCCTTCGGGCAAACTACAATTTATTATTATTATATTGGAAAGAAGAATGATTTCAAATATTCGCGACATTCAAAAACAAAAAAAAACCTAAATCAGGTACAAATGTTGCTTCTAGAATAGTCCAGGCGCATGGTGAACCATCCGGGACTGTCCCGGTCAATCCAAGATTATGGGTTCCAGACAGGTCAGTTAATGGTTACCTCAAAGATCAAATCATATTAACCTTACTTAAGGGTGAAATCATCTTGCTTTACCTCCATGCCTCAAAAAAAGTAGATAATATCATAAGACTTTTATCTCACCTTCATCCAAGTGGAGTTCTTCGGATCCAGACGTCCGTTCAACGTGACAGTGTCATCGACATGTGGCGATAGGCTTCCTGTAATGTTCATGACGGGCATCTTTAATGTCATATCGTTGTTCTGAGGTCCGGATGTCGGGCTACGGGCAATATTCATATCCGTTCTTCTCAAATACGTGTCTATCAGCATCGAAAGGTTCACTGGATTTATTTGCTGCTCGAAGTAAGTCTTGTAGACTTGGACGAGGTCGTGGTTACGCTCTTCTGTATTCTATAGAAAAAAATAGTTAAAAAAGGGGTTATATGGCTAAAAACTGCTGTACAACCTATACGTGATTATTTATAAAGCTTATATTTAAAAAGGATCTCATAGATATGAAATGAGATTGACCATCAACTCTGTTTGTTAGTCTTGATATTGGTATTGTCAAAGGTCAAAATTCAAAATGTTTCAAAATATCTTACTCTTCCAAAGTGGTGCCACATTAGATAATCCACAACACCCTGGGTCATCCCTTTGGATTTTAAATGACGGGCGTTCAATTTCTGGTAACCCCACTCGATCCAACCAGAAACCGTGCTCACGCAGTTTACCAAACAAAGAGCACCAACCTGCCAAAAAATTCATAGAAATATTGTTAAAATAATTAAAATATCGATGAAAGACATATTTAAGTTAAGTATTACTATACCTGTTCTGGATGCTCAATAGCAAATCGAGCCAAAACGTTGGCTCCAAATCCAACTCCAAAACCGATAACAGATTTTAGTCCAAAATGAGTCAATACAAAAGGTAGTTGCCCAGCCAATTGATCCATCGTCGGATACACATAGCTAGCAATAAATAAATAAGTATCAATTATATCAAATTGTAAGATTTGAGTATATTACAAATATTCCTACTCTTCTGGGTAGGTAGGAGCTCCTTCTTCTTGTCCAGGTGCGGTCACATGGTAAACGCAAAAGTTTTCAAGTAGAGCTCTCATTGAAGGATAATTAAAGAAAGCACTGAAACTTGACGAATCTGCAAGAAACATACATAATTATATGAGGATTAATTCGATTTAGCATTATATTCAATGAATATCTCCCATCTAAGTTTCTGTTATGAATTCCAAAGTTTTAAGCACATTGTTGACTCGAAACTAGACGATAAAGTTAGTTGGAAATATTCGGAACAGTTTGAAACTTTGAAACTGTTAGTGGAAAATTGGGTTTAATGCAAATAGTGTAAATTGTTTAAAATATTTAGTATCCGTCTGTAATTGTCTGGAATTGTTCTGTAACTTTCCAAAATAGGTTTCAGAAACGTTTTGAAAGATTAAAATGATTCAATTTACTCAAGAGTGAATGAATATAAATGTTTATCTTCACAATTCTTCCCGTCTATATTTATAATTTTTATTTTTTTTTCTACTTACAGTTCAATCCAAGATCATGATAAGTCAGAATTGCTGGTTTTGTGCAATCACCAACTACAGCAACTTGCAATTCACCATGATCAGTAGGGACTCTGGAAATTGTTCCAATGCTCTGCCTTGGAGCAGTTCTTGATGATGGAAATTGGAGCTGAATTGATTTTAGTTCGATGTCGTCCATTGGATCACAAGGCATGGTGTTGCTGATTTTTGGAGTTGGGGAAAAATGTGGAAAAGCATCGATTAGAAAGGTAGGATAAAGTAATAATATAATTAACATATTTTTATTGAGTCAATAATTGAACTCCTAAACGCCCTTATCGATTTTTCTCATAGTTCTAGTTTATAATAATTAAAAAATAATTTTCGTACGATTCGTGGTTTACCTAAAATTAGCCCTGACTGTTTTTGATTGACCGTATTCATTCTATTCTAAATTTTGATCTATATATTTTCTTTAATTAAAATTAATTAATTCAAATTAAAGTAAAGCAGAATATAATAAGTTAGAACTGTGTTTTTAATATTTCGTTCTACTAAATTTCTTTGGGCGTTTCTTTGGGTGGTCTCAAGGCGTGTCCAATACTCAAGTCGTAGTAAAAATATTTATAATTTCTATACAATATTTATATTCTAAAGGAATTCAATTCTACTGCGTTATATTTTCTGAGTTGATAAACTAAGTCAATAACGTTTAACTGTACCTCCTAATTGGCTTGTCACGCTAAATTAAAGACTTAGGAGCGTCTTGTATAAACAGTAACAATAATATATATGAAGGTCAATAAGAACTATATAGCTTCAAATTATGGAAATATAGCTACGTAAATTATTCCTGGTGATTTAATGCAAACTTTATATATGTATCTATGTCCTGATAAAAAAAACAAGGATATATTGCTATCCAACTATCACCTACTATCGCTTGGCATTTTTGTTTTTGTCGCTATCACTAATTTATTTTAATTATACACTAATTTGATTAAGTCAAACGTATATAGTATAGCCTAACGTTTTTACTCAATTTAAATAATTTAATACAATTTTGGTATACTTTGGGTTGGTTCACACTTTTACTTATTAGATTAAATTTCAATTATATATAAATATATATAAATTTATTTCTGTGTAAATTATTTATAGATTGCTATAATAATTACAATGATAATTACAATTCTAATTTCAAAATCATGCGTCTACTTTTTCGTGCATATACGTCTACAGCGCATTATAAATGCTTCTTTTTCTACAATTTCTATATTAATAATTCTAAACTATAATGAAAATAAGTCATATTTTCATTTTTGAACTATAATGGAAAAAATCATATTTTGTATGAAATTTATTTGGTTTTATGTCAAAATTATACCTTATGTATCTCCAAAATTCTAATTGTCAATATTAAAAAGAATTCGTATATTCATTTTTAAAATGCCGTAAAATAGACCAGTTTTAGCAAGGCTATGTTATGTAACAGTTTTCATATAAAGTGGTACTAAAAACTGTCAAAATTCTATATGGTTGATGTGCAGTCCATAGAGAACCTAACCTAGAAACCGCACAAATGTCAAAAAAAATCGATCTTAGATAACAGGGTCTTTCTGACTCAGCTTCATAACATACAAGTGACGTTGCAGTTTATGTGAAAAACGCCTGATAGTACAGCAAATACATGGTATTGTGACGGTATTTAGTAGCATTTTGTATGAAAACTGAGACGTAACATAGCTTTCATATAAAGTGGTACTAAAAACTGTCAAAATTCTATATGGCTGCTGTGCAATCAAGCGTTTTAGATAACCTAGAAACCGCACAAATGTAAAAAAACGATGCTAGATAACAGGGTCTTTCTGACCCAGCTTCATAACATATAAGTGACGTTGCAGTTTATGTGTAAAACTGTGATCGCACTGCAAATACAAGGCATTTCGACAGTATTTAGTAGCATTTTGTATGAAAATTGGAACGTAACATAGTCTTGCTATAAAATTGGTCTATTTTGCGACAAAATCGGCTCCTCTATCTAAAAAAATAATATTTTGTATGAACTTGTTATTATATCGTATCAGAAATATTTCGTCCATATCTTCGCTGTGTATATCTGGAATTCAAATTCTTAATAGAAAAAATTATACATTCATTTTTAAATTAAAACGAAAAGAAATAATATTTTGTAGGAAGTTGTTCGTTTGTATCTTTTCCACATTCTCGTTGAAAATATTTATGAAATATTACATTGAACTAATTAAGAAATTACTTTATGAATAAATTTTAAATGATTTTTATGCAAAATAGTAAAAACCAAAAACATTTAAAATTATGAAGAAAAATGATGTCTGTTAAACTTTAATTTTACCTTTAGGACTTATTGGGCTTTTCATTTACACATATCCTAATACTATTGCATATTATGTTTACAAAAATTTAATATTATAAAAAAGCAATTTCGCAAAATAAGGAACAAATAGTATCATTTCCCTTTTTTGCCAAAAAACAGCTTTTCCTTCTTATCTTGGCAACGAAAATAAAGCACAAATTTCCTCTACCCGTTTTGTCACAAATCAATTTGTCCTCGATAAAAACACACATATACATATAAAACCACACAAATACACATACATAATGATTACTTCAATCATCTATTACAAGAAGTATTGTAATAACATATAAACAATATAATAAAACACAATAATTTCAATCAACTGTCAAACAACTGACTATACTTTGTCAATTGACCTCTATTAGGAAGTGCATAAACAGAAATTGTTTTTATTTATTATTATTAATATGCAATGCAAAGAATCGACCGAATGCAAATTTTTATGTCATCAAAGGTTAAAAAAAGGCTATCTTTGTAATTGGCAAGTAATTCACGCGATTTTGTTTGTGATGATTTATTGTTAAATAATTGAATGGTAATAAATGAAATATAAATATTTTGTTATCAGTCATTTATTTATTGCAAGTGCCAATTAGTTATTATTTCAATTATATATTTTGGGCAAAATTTAACATTAGGATACGGAAAGTAATTTTTTTTTTATTTCTCTAAAATTTATTTTAATAGTAGTTTTGACAGATTTATACTTCTACTTATCAGAAAGTTTTAAATGTTTATATATAGTTGATTCTAAAGATTTACCACGATATTTTTATTTATTCTTGAGAAAATATTGATATCACTATTGAAATATATCACAATTATAATATTTTTAACTAATGCATTAATGAATTATTTTTTTAACTTACATTTTGTTCATCCTTTATATGAATTCATTATTCTTCATCAATCAGTTAATATTTTAATTATATATTTGGGCAAAATGTTGAACTATGATATGAGATGTTTTAATTATTTTGTATTTTTAATTTTTTTAAATATAATTTAATCGTAAAATATTTTGCCAGAAGGCCCGTTGGATGATTTAAACTTCTACAAATCAGATAGATTTAGTTCACGATTTTAGATCACGAAATATTTGGAAAAATTTTAATGGGTACATATTTTTGAGAGTGATTTATAGGCAGATATAAATATCGGTACTGCATTAGGTCAAAATTAAATTATTTTCAAATTTATTAAATTATTTTATAGTTATTTGATGATTAAATTCGTATTGAATATTCATTTATTATTCTTCACAATAGTATTTTCATTATAACGTTTAAATTAAACGTTTTTTTTTTCAAATGAATAAGTTTATAAAAAAGTTGTATTATTATATTAAAATATTACAAAAATGCATATTGCAGGATGTGTTATTGCATTCAAGTACCTTAGTGGAACAATTTATTCTTCTAAGTCAAATTAGGAAGGTTTTTAATTTATTCATACCAGTATATATATTATTTAGATGTAGATATTATTTTTAAATCGAAATGAATTTTTTACCATCATTTTAGATAAAATTTATATTATACGTTTCAATAATTGCAATATTTTTTAACATATGTATTCAAGTTATTAATTCTAGAATTTTATTACAATTGCATATCTTATTCAGACATTGAATTTTTTCAAATCAAACTGGATTTCACTCCAGATACCAAATCCATTATTCATAATAAAGTTTATAATATACGATTTAATGATTGCTATCATCATTTGTTTGTCCAAAATGCCTTTCAAACAAACACGATGACTCAAACTATATGAGTCATGGGTGTTGCTCAAGATTTCATCATGTACGAAATGCGTAATTATATTGTAATAATACATGAAAAAATGCTGTGAAATTAACCAACTGTTGTACTTACATTCGTAGCCTGAATAATTGCGTAAAGATCTTCTGAAAAATATACTAAACAAATTGTTTTGTACTCATATCGATTTGGAGAACTCTGTT